ACACCAAGCCGCCCCGCCCTCCCAAACCCTGACACCCTGACACCTAGCACGGGATACCAAGTCACCCCGCCCCCAACCCCTAAGCCTCTGACACCTTAATCCCGGACACCCCGCCCACCCTCCTGCCCCAACCATCCCTAACGCCCCAAATTCTAACAATCCAGGTGCCTGCTGCTAGCACCTCACCTCCTAGCACCTCAGGTCCTGAACACCCCACCCGTTAACCCACTGCCCATCTGTCCGGGGAGCCCCTCGAGGCCCGGCCAGGGGCTTAGTGAACCCTGGTCGCCCCGCCCCATGGAAGCCCCGCCCCAGGTCGCCCCGCCCCTCCAACCCCTAACCCTTAATTCCAAACCCCAGCTCTGGCCTCCCCTCCTCGCCTCTGAGCACATTAGCAATGCAGTTCACTTTCTGGTCGGGATTCGGCCGCCCCGCCCATAGCAGCCGCTGTCTCTTCCGTCCCGCGCGAGGCGCACACGTGGCCGTGGAGACGGGCTGCGCTGACCAGGTGCGGGAGGCCGAGGCTGCCTTCGCGCGGGATTCCCTCCGTCCGGGGTGCGGGGCGGGAGCGCGCGGTGACGGAGCCTGGCAGCAGCCCCAGACCCACGCTGAGCTGTCCAGAAACGGAAGAGAAAGGTGATGCTTCTCTGTACCCGAGGGCGCGCGTCGGAGGCTGGGTGCCTGTGTGTGTGTGTGTGCACGTGTGTGATCATGTGTGCGCGTGCGTGTGTGCACGTAGGTGAGCGGGCGCAACATAGAGACCCGCGGCAAGGTGTGCTCTCATGAGCAATCACCGCTGCTTTCTGTGCGCCCCCAAACAGACGTCCTTTACGTGGGTCTCACCCCACCCACCACCCATCTTTCCTCTCCTCTCCTGAGGACCTTTCCAGCCTTCTCTGTAGGTTCATTTTCTCCTAGGAGAAATTCTGGAATCCAACTTGGAACACACCCCGGGTCCTCCCGCATGAAGATCGGAGTTGGGAGCGCCAAGGTTTGCACACCTGTGTCCCCTCCACCCAGGAGGAAAGCTGCCAGAACTCCTCACCACCTGTAGTGGCGAGAACTCGCCTACAGACCAGATCAGCTTCGAAAACGTGCAGTGTCGTACAGAAAATCCAAAGAAATCATGAGGAACAGTCCTGAGGTTTCGTTGTGGGCAGGAGTGCTTTTCAAAGTTTCCTTTCTTTTTGGAATGACTTTACTAGTTATGGAGGAAGAATCTGCGTCCATTTGAGACTTAGCCAGGAACGCACCTCTGCATAGGTAAGCTGAAGGACTCCTCCGCTAATAAACTCTGCTTCTCATTGGTGGAAATCATTCTTCAGTGAGAGAGGCAGCAGGCTCAGAGATAGGGATGATCCTTGAGGACAAGAATCTAGAGGATGCTGTCATCAGTAAGACTGAGCCAACCGTCCAGCCTTCTAAATTGAAAGCAACCTCGGTGACCTTTCAATCTGAGTTGCTCCTGAGTGCAATCCTGGGACATCCTGGCTCATTCTCCATCTGATCCAGGCCACAGCCTTCTCTACCCCTAAGAACACACCAGCTTTTTAGAAGCACGTTGTCTTGCTAGCCTGCTTCTTCTGTTCAGCTGAGCTCCGTCTCCTGGCCACACTCACAAGCGAGTCTTCTGCCCTTCAGGGAGTGCCCTTCCAACCCAACTACCAGGTCTCCGTGCAGTCTCATATCAAGCCCTCCATAGTGCCTCAAGAGCTGGAAATTTGGGCTGTACAGCAAAAAAGAGAAAACGTTCCATCAACTCTTTCCTTTGACCTCTTTATTACATTAAGTATGCTAAGTCCTATCCTCTCCCTGAAATTTTCTAAGAAGTAATCTTTTCATGAAAAATGTGGTAAGAGATTTTAGGAATGGATATTGAATAACTCATCTAGTCCTTTTATGAAAAGGACAGTAATTATTGGAGGAACGAAGTGGATTCATTTTGGTGTTTTCTTTCAAAGCTTGTGTTTCCCCCTGTTAACTGTGGCTAGGCCTCCTGCTCTTTGCAAAAGACAGATATGTCAGAATCATTTCATCTTTTCTTATTCTTCCCATTTCCTGCCCATCTCCCCCACTCCAAGCAAATTCAGTAACATTGGGGGAAAACAGAGAAACCAATAGACAATTGAAGAAATAGTGTTGTAAAATTAAAGAAATAGTGTTGTACACTCAGCCACCTGATCTTTGATAAAGGGACCCAACAAACTCACTGGAAGAAAGATGGCCTCTTTAATAGATGGTGCTGGAAAAATTGGCTTGCCACCTGCCAAAGACTGAAAATAGACCCAAGTCTATCACCATACACTAAACTAAAGTCAAAATGGATCACAGACCTCAATATTAAAACAGAAACACTAAATCTATTGGAAGAGAAAGTAGGTAAAA